AAATATTACGTTCAAATGGTATTCAACATTCTGATATTTACATATTATATTATTTCATTATTTTCTGATATTACTAATATATTTAATGATATATATTATTTTATAATAGATTATATAAATGGATTATGTAACAGTACTAATATTATAAAATATTTACTTTATAATATTACATTATTATCTCATTATTATAATTAATATTATATTATTAAATATATACTATATTTTTTATAAATATTAAAAAATAATTCATTATTGGAAAATATTACGTTCAAATGGTATTCAACATTCTGATATTTACATATTATATTATTTCATTATTTTCTGATATTACATTTAATGATATATATTATTATTTAATGATATATTATTTAATGATATACGTATTTAATGATATATATTATTTTATAATAGATTATATAAATGGATTATGTAACAGTACTAATATTATAAAATATTTACTTTATAATATTACATTATTATCTCATTATTATAATTAATATTATATTATTAAATATATACTATATTTTTTATAAATATTAAAAAATAATTCATTATTGGAAAATATTACGTTCAAATGGTATTCAACATTCTGATATTTACATATTATATTATTTCATTATTTTCTGATATTACATTTAATGATATATATTATTATTTAATGATATATTATTTAATGATATACGTATTTAATGATATATATTATTTTATAATAGATTATATAAATGGATTATGTAACAGTACTAATATTATAAAATATTTACTTTATAATATTACATTATTATCTCATTATTATAATTAATATTATATTATTAAATATATACTATATTTTTTATAAATATTAAAAAATAATTCATTATTGGAAAATATTACGTTCAAATGGTATTCAACATTCTGATATTTACATATTACATTATTTTATTATTTCTTCATATTACTGGTCTGTTAAATAAATTGACTATATTATACATATACACAGTATTTCAATATTACATTATATAGACTGGTACGTTTACTGATATAATATGGGCAATATTTACCGATATTTACTATATCTAACATAGCATTCGATTAGAGGGGAGGGGGTTATTGTTTTACTATATCGAATTAATACTTCGAATTTCCATAATTTTAAAATAGTTCGAATAACTTTTCTCCGAGCTGCGGTTTCAAACATCCAACGTTAGTTACGTCTCATGTGGACGATCCTGTAACGGCGTTGCATGATCGTGGATGGTTGAGAACCGTCTTGATAGCGGGCAACACGGGTGGTCTCCGGAGGCCGCGCCGTGGCGGAACGAGCAAATACGCCGTCGGCATTTTTGACGGTGAAATCCGACTAGGTGGGGTCCCGACGTACCCCGTGTCAGACGTCATTCTCGTGCCCTTCCCGCGTTGCTTTCCGATGAATACGCGTATCCTTGGTTCGCGCGAGACACGGAACCCGGGACACCCACCTCTTAGTCCGATCTTCTGAATGGTTTTGTGGCTCGGCCTGTCAGTTTCGAGTCTTGGGTCATCCGGTATATTAGGAGCCTTGGAATGTATGGATTTGACGGTCTTTTTATTTTTTATTTTGGAAATCGTTCATTGATAGTTTAAAGGAATGTAGGATTTTCGATGCTCGATGTTGCTTGCGTTCGCTGTTGGAATTGTTTGGAACGAAATATCCGATGCGGGTCGTGTTTCGTTTCTTGTAATTTTGTACGGCGTGTTTAGTAATATAATATCGTATAATACGATAATGCTTTCGTTGCGAACAAAATTAACTTTGAGATTTGTTCTTTTTAACTACTTGTATGTAGTTGTATTATTCGTTATGTTTTATGTAAGTAAATGAATACATATTATTTTAAATATAAATAGCAAAAATAAGTGTAAACGTAAATAACATGTAAAATGCATACATGTTTATATTATTTATACATTTACGTATATTATCATATTTACATATATTCATATGTATTCATATCAAAATATAAATATGTATTTATCATAAAATGAATGCATAATAATATGTAAAAGAATACATGTTATTATATATTATTTATGCATTTATACATATATTCATATAAAACTATAAATATGCAATCATCATTAAATGAATACATAATAACATGTAAAATGAATACACAATAATATGTAAAATGAATAGATATTATTATATATTATTTGTGTATTTATATATATTATTATTTTTACATCCATTCATATGTATTCGTTTTACCTATTCTGATTTATATACATCATTATTTTTCATCATTTATTGTCATTCACATATACCATCATGTGTATTCACTTTACATACATATTATCATATATGTATTTATTTCTCAGTTAAACATTTTTGCACATTATATTATAAAGGAAGCAAAGATGGAAATAAAATCTTTCATGGTATAATCAATTGAATTTACAAATAAGCGCTTCCTTATTTGTTTGACTTTTCTCAATCTTCAATGTTGAAATATTGTGGCTTCTTTGGGAGGAGAGAAAATATGTTTCTATTAGCAATAATTATCGATATGAAAATCTTTGCTCATTCGAAGGAAACACGAACATAAAGGAGTTGAGGAAACTGATTTCGTAATGGATTTAGAGGGGGCGTGTTTTGTTTTATGGAACCGGTTTTAATGAAACCGATTTGCTTTTCGTTAATGAGCAATTTGTTCGCCTCTGCCGGAGAAATCAACTAAAATGATTGTATAAGAAACATGAGACTCAGCAGGTGGATAGTAAATAACCATACAGTGTCGTTTCGTTTAATGAATCTTATAGTTTATTTATTTGTTATTTTAGGAACTTATTAAAAATCTAATGCATATATTATAGCCTTGTCAGTGTAACAGATGTACAACATAATGCTATTGGATTTAATTAACGTTGCAATTAATCTATATACATGTACAATATAGAGAGAAGTTAGAGAAGAAAAATTTGTTAATTATAACGCCATTTAATATAACGTCAATAGTAAGATTTCATTTGAAAGATTTCATTTTGAATTGCAGCTTTTGTTTCAATCTTTTCTCCAATTTGCAGCCTGAAGTATTAATTCATTTCTTGAAAGAAAGTTTCATTATTGACATTTGTAATTAATAATATACAACCAATAATAATATAATAATTAATAACATAATGTATAATTATTTAGGAATATACATATAAAATTTAACACGAATATTACAAATGAAGTTTGTTACACTTAGTTCTACTTGCTTTATATATAATTTTATTACATTTAACTGGCACTATTGTTTGCAGATTTATAAAATCTTTTTTTTTGACATTTCTGTATGCTATAGATATATATATAATAAAACTATATATATATGTATATATATAGTTTGTTATTATTATTTATATATATATAGTTTTGTGTGTATATATACAAAACTGATATAACTAAACCTAACAAACTTAACCTAACCTAACAAACTATTTCTATTCTATTTCTATAACTATTCTATGTCTATTTCTATAACGTATAAAATACAATTAACGATTTTAAATGGATAAACGATGCGGTATAATTGCAAAGCAGTTTCTATACCTTAACCAGTGAGAAGCTACAAATATCTATAAATATCGTCTAATAATAAAATAGTATAAATTACGTTTTAAATATGTGCAATTTACAAGCAAACAATCTGTCCAATTACAAACCACAGAATAATTAGCATGAAACGTTCCGTGTTACGATTAATACGTTTAAACGATACGGACGGTGAACGTGTAATGACTCGTTCCGACAAGATCGATGGGGTTGTCGTGTACGTGACAGCGAGGGCGACGGTTGCGACCCATAACAGAGCTATTTCCATGTCTTCTTCGGCGAACGCTTTCATTGGTATCCTGCCAGAAATTTTTCCCGGTAGGTATATATCCGTAAAGCTATAGAAACGTGTGTTACGACACCGGGCCAGCTCTCGATGTTTCTCTTCGAGGAATCGTCTCGAGCATAAACATTACCAGGCCGTCGAAAGCTTAAAGTGGCACGAGTCGCGAATAAAGCAACCGGCCAATCCCCCTGATGGTCTGCCTCGTGACTCTGGTCAGCCGCGGTTCCAGCCAACTGAAAAGGGTCCAGATAGTGAGTTCGCCCTTTGAAGAAAGACAACTGCGTTCCAAACCTGTATTTTAGACGCGGCATTCTTTGACGAATTACCAGAAATTACCAGAAACTATCGTACCAACTAAATACACCCGAGGAAACGCCGGAATAGGCTATATATTTTCTTTTCTTTTCTTTTCCTTTGGTCTTCATTTTTTCTCTCCTTTTTTTCTTTTTTTTTTTTTTTTGGAGTATGCGGAATAACGTAAAAATGCGTTGGTAAGAATAAGAAATTTTCAAACGTACGATACTTGGCTGTTTAGTCTGGGACACTTGACTCCTTGTTCTTTTTTACCCTTGGATGGTCAAACAGAAATATTGGGTTGACAACTAAGAGATTGCGGATCTTGTCATTAGGTGGTATTGACAAAATCCGCAATCACTTAGTTGTCAACCCAATAACAATGGATAGCACAATGACGAAAGAGAAGCAAACAGAGATTCGTTTCATTTATTAAGTAGCTACGTACATGAACATTACTTTGTATATTTTGTGTATTATGTATTTGTATATGTATGTGTATTTTGTATATTATGTGTTATATATTAATCACTGTGTTTTATAAAAAATCTTAGCATACATTTAAAATGAAAAATAACATAAGAACATACAGATAGTAGAAATATAAGAAATAAACATAGGTATGATAATAATACAAATATAAATTAATAATAAATATAAGATAAGAAAAAACATAAAAATAAAGTATCTACCTAAGTGGTAAATAAATCGCGCAGTTAAAATATCGTAAGGATCGTTGGAAGATTCGATAAATAAAATATTATCAATTAACCCGGGTTTCAAAAGCTTCTTCTTGCACATGTGTCTCGTTAGACAATTTTCTCTGATTGAGATTCACGCGACGCGTATGGTATTTTTTGATGGTAGAAGGCGGAAGGTTGCAAAAAGAGTTGACCTACACCTCGGAAGCACTGGGCGAAGCAGCCGCCTCGACGCATCAGCTGGTGATTCAAACGCCAAGGCATCCCGGGGCGAATATCTTGCACCCTGCCGCACTCAAGGAACACTTAGAAATCCTGAAGGCGGCCACGCAGGTCACCGTACACCTGTTCGACACGTAAGTTCATTTTTTATTTTGTTCTCTTTTTCTTTCTCTTATTCTTTTCTCTTGTTCGCTCCACCGTTTCGCCAGGCACGTGGAAATATATACGAAGTTGGCGGAGAAGGACCACGAATTTTCATTTGAATCTGCATAGGACGAACTGTTGAATTCGTATGTCGAATGAAATTTTCTTATAATATGTAAGGCGAGTGATCTCGAATTTTACTGAATTATAAGGTACGAATCAACGACATACTCTTAAAGATAGGAATTTTTCATATATATATGTGATATGTTATATATAATACTAATAATAAATACCATGATATTATAGTAATATTGTAAAATGTATATTTTTATAGTATATTTTACAATATCGTAAATATTGTATTGTAATATTGTAAAATGTAAAATGTATATTTATATAGTACATTTTACAATATTGTAAATATTGTATTGTAATATTGTAAAATGTAAAATGCATATATATCTAGTACATTTTACAATATATAGCATATATAGTATATTGTACAACATTGTAAATATTGTATTGTAATATTGTAAAATATAAAATGTATACATATATATATTACTTACAATTAGCATTTTTCTTGAAATAGAGGAATCTTCTTAGTCTCTTTATTAATATGAAAGAATCTTTTCAGTCTTTTTTCTACAAACTATGTTTAGTGCATGCTAAATATATTATATATAGTACATTTTACAATATTACCTACAATTAGCTTTTTCTTTTTCTTTCTTTTTACCACATTGGAAGAATCTTCTTAGTCTTTCTACTAATCAGTCAGAATCTGTTTGCAGTCTTCCTTATCGACTTGAAAGAAAGTTTCTCATCTCTGAGACTCATATGCCCTGAATTTTCTATTATTTCATATCAGCTGTTAAAGATCAATTTTATCGCGTCGCACGATATTCTGCGATATTGTTGTCGATCCTTTTATCCGTAACTTCACTTGTCCCAAATTTCATTTGTTTCCATCTCCAGAATTTCTTCCCATTCCAAACTATCCTGCCGGGAATAAGCAGAAGTTAACTTTCCATCAGTTTATTAACACTTTACCGACCGCTCTGTTTCGGTTTAGACTCTCTAATATCATTCTTTTCGTTCATCGCGAATGGTAAGTTTTTCAAATTGGTATAAAACTGTGGGAGCTTACAAAGCAACGAACTGATCAAGGTACTTTGGTACTAAATAACAAATTACTGCTCAAATAATGAGAAAAATTGTCTGCGACAAAAAGCCGATTAATAGGCTATCGATCGGTAAGCGTCGGCGACAGAAACCAATTAATAGACTATCGGTCGGTAAAGTGTTAAAACTGGCAGTATAATTTTATGGTTATAGAACGAGTTTCTGGTTAAGAGTGCAGCACGGTTGTAACACGTTGGTCGTGTAATTAATAATATACGATTCGTAACGATGGTTTACGTTATCCTCTGAGAAAAAAAAAAAAAAAAGAAAAGAAAACGAATGAACATATAAAAATTGAAATTGATTTGCCTGGAAATAAAACGTGAATATGTAAATACCGCACGATTTGCCTACTTTCCAAAGACTTCGTAGACACCCTGTGAGTGGCGAGGAGACGGCGAAGAACAACGATTGCCATCGTTTCAATGTTGTTCGCAAGAGTCGATTCCTTGCCGCTGTTATCGGCGAGACGGTGGTTAAAGGGATGCAAAACTTGTTGTATTCATGAATGCATGCTTTCTGTGTCGTTTGCAGCGAGTGGAGGCTGAAAGACATGTGTTACGCGCTGAACATACCCAACTTCGACATGCACTACATCGACCAGGTAATTTAGAGCTACCACTTTATCTAGATATAAGTAGATACGCGATGTCACGTTCGTGTTCGTTGGCTGTTCAACTGTTCAGGTATTCGACGCGTGAACCACTCTATCGCGTTATCGTGCGTGCACTGTGACTCTTTCGATTTCTCATTAGGAAATTCTGAAACTAGCGATGGCTACGATAGCTACGAGACGAAGAGTAAGCTCGAGGAGCAGACATTGCTTTTCACATTTATTCATTTAGATCTTTCCTTTGTACTAGATGCAAGGAAATTTTGTTTAAAATATTACAAATGTTACGGTATAATTATACAATGTTATATATTACAATATAATAATATTATACTATATTTATTTTATTTATTATAATATCGTCATAATATTATATTGTTATTATATAATAACAATATTATAACAATATTAATATTATATAATATTGTTATTATATTGTTATGTTATAACAATATTATAATAACAATATTATATAATAACAATATAATATTATGACGATATAATATTATTACACATTACAATATTATGACAAAATTTGGTCACAATTATATGATCTCCATCCATCATACAATCACTTGCTGTTTTCTGGATTTTTTCTTCGCATTAGATGCATGGAAATTTTGTTTAAAATATTACAAATGTTACGGTATAATAATATATGTTACAATATAATTAATATTACAATATTACGAAACTTATGAATATTATATTATTACACATTACAATATTATGAGACTTATGGATATTATATTATTACACATTATAATATTATGAGACTTATGGATATTATATTATTACACATTACAATATTATGGCAAACATATTAGCGTAATCATGTTCAATAATTAACTGAATCATTTGGTGCCAATTATATGACTTCGGTCCATTATAAAATCACTTGCAGTTTTATGGATTTTTTCTTTGCATTAGATGCAAGGGAAAGTTATTTAAAGTATTATAAATATTACAGTATAATAATACAACATTATATATTACTATATTATGACAAACACAATAGTACAATCATGTTCAATAATTAACTGAATTATTTGGTACCAATTATATGACTTCGACCCATCGAAAAATCAGTTGCTGTTTTATGTGATTCCTTACAATGAATTTACGATTCAAGTGAGCTACTTATTACCAGGCAAACTAAAATATCCACGATTTTATATTATGAAATAAATTAGCATTTATGTCGAATATCGAAATGGTAATCGCGCGGAGAAAGAAAGTCTCGACTGCAATTTTATTGAATTTCGGATACGTTGTAGGGGGGCGGGGAGACGAGCAAATGTTTTGACAAAAAGAAAACGATACTTTACATTTATTACAATTTAAGAGTTTGACTTGATTAAAAATGTGTTTGACGAAAAGAATATATCACTTGTTACATTACGTTTACTTCGATACAAGATATTAAAAATGAAATTGTATATGCATTTGCACAGAATTGCCATCCTAATAGCGGTAAGCTATGGTTAGATTAGGTATGGCTAGGTTAGGTTAAGTTATATGAGATTATGTTAGGTTAGGTTAGATTAGGTATGGCTAGGTTAGGTTAAGTTATATGAGATTAGGTTAGGTTAGGTTAGATTAGGTTAGATTCAATGGGTGGCTCAAAAGATCTAACCTAACTTGACTTTTGACCTACGATCGTTCCACGACTGGGACAAAGTGTATATTGCTCAAGACCCTCTACAATATATCTCAAGGTCAAAATCATTATTGTCAAGGCTATTGTAATTACGTAATGTCAAAAGAACATCATAATAACTAAACTGCGGACTTCTATGCGTTTTTTCAAAATTTAAAGGTGCAAACACGAAATATTTGAAGTATAGTATCTGTTATGATATTTGACCCTCGTTCGTTCCTCATTTTTGCAATTGAACGTGTCCTTAGTGCGTCAGATTCACACAAAGGCGAAACATCGATGAAATGAAAAGATAAATAATTCATGTTGCTATTCGTGTCGTTAGCATACAATTCATCGCGTGTCAAAGTCAACAAGTTTCAGGAAAATTGTTGTATAAGTGGTCAAACGATACAATATTTTACCAGAAAAATGTGCAAAATTGACACGAGGGACCGGCGAGAGTCAGACGATGAAACAAATCTCCGTTTAAGTTTTGTTTCCTTAATTGTGTTCATAAGAATCTGAATTTGCATAAATATCCACTGTCTAATCGCAACGATCATTTTTGCCTGAGTAAGCAAGCGTACAGTCGCTTATGGACTATGAACAGAGACATAGTAATATTTAGAATCTATGTAAAATCATGGTAAAACAAATTCTCATGGTAATCCGTGTAAATTTATGGTAAAATCCCACTGATGATTCTCGTAGTCGTCATCAACAATCCTTAGTAATAGCTTGTGAGCTTAAACGCACAACAAAAGAAAGAGAACAAAATCCCCTTAGGTTCCATTTCTAAAAATATGAAATAGTTGAATATATTATATATTGTATTTTATATCTGTATATTGTATATCTGTATATTATATCTGTATATCTGTATCTATATATTTATATTATATATTGTATTTTATATATATTATATATTATTATATGTTATATTATATAGATATATAAATAATAAATATATTTAAATATAATTTAAATATAAATATGTAGTATAATATAATTTAATATATAATATAATATAATATAATATAATAGAATAGAATAGAATAGAATAGAATAGAATAAAATAGAATATATAATTTAATATATTATAATATTCAATTTAATATATAATATAATATAATATAATATAATAGAATAGAATAGAATTGAACAGAATAGAATAGAATATATAATTTAATATATTATAATATTTGATTTAATATATCATTTTATATAATATAATAGAATATAATATATAATCTAATATAATTTAATTTAATATATAACTCAAATATAAATTTGAATATAATAATTTATATTACATTCATAATTCTACATATACATAGGATATATATGTATATATGTTCATAGGTGTTTGTGAAAATACGTTTTCCTTGTAATCTAGCAACGACGCGAACGAAGGCGACGCGTAACGTTAAACGGATCGAAAGATTCTCACAGTTTAGTTTAATAGGAGAAGCTTAAGGGAAAATCGTGGTCATCGCTAGGCGTAGCACGTATCCGCGGCGGATCTGTTCGTTTGTGTCCTGGAGTCCAGTCACCATGTCGCAGCGTCGTTCCCCAACGACTCACGTACAGTCGTAAACGTCGAAAATTGAATACGACGCTTGAAAAGCCGAACAAACGTCGCGCCGGTTTGCACGTACAAAGTCGCACGCTCGTTTCCGCGCGCTCACGCGTGCTACATCGTTTCTTGCGCGCCGCTAACGAGCGGACGCGTTAGACGCGTTTCGAGCGGCTGGGAAAAGGGAAAAGCACGAAATTACCTCAGCGTGAGAGACGCCGCTACGTCGGACGCGCCGCTTCCGCGATGTTACCAGCGCGAGTTTCACCGCACCGCACCAAAGTAGCAGTTAAGGAGGAGACAAAACTGTTCGGATAATGGAATTTTCAGATAATGGACAGTAGAAAGATAATAGAACAATAGAAATACGGATTAAGATTGATCGGTAGTTTCTTTAAATTTTTATGGATGTCATATGTTTGTGGCTGCCAAGTCAGATAACTCTTTCAACACAAGTAACCACACAGAGTGTGGTTATTCTTCTTGCATTTCCAAAAATTAAATTTTTTGAGTGTCACGAATGCCTTAATATGAGGAAGTACCTCTTCTCTTACCATCTCCATTTGCTCTTTCCATTTGGATGAAATCGTCGTTGTTAGACTGCAGATTTCCATACAGTTAAACTGGGTCCAAATATTCAATTTATAGGAATTGCAAGAAATACGTGGTATGATATACGCAGAGAGAAATTTCAATGAAAAAGGAAGAAAGAAATTGAAGGATCGAATATGAGATTTCTAGGGATTGCGGATTTCTATGCAATTAAATTCGTTAGGTGTATGTAGACTTTTGTAACTGACTGTAGTTCGAAAGAAACTCCGAGGATCGACCAACATCCGCGCGATTCATTATGTTTCAATCTCGAAGTTTCTGTTGAATGATAGATGTTCCGGTATGCAGGAATTGCCTGAAGTAACAACCGTCTAAATCACACGGCGGTCTCCTGTATCTCAGACAAACAGGAATATTATTATCCCAGCGCTTATGTACAGGATGTTTCACTTTTAACGCGACCGCGTCCTCTTATCCCTGTTCACTGGATCTCATCGATTTACAATGGCAGACAAGATTGCTGTTTAACACGAATAACCTAATTGAAGCTATATATATATGTCAGTTGTGTATAAAATATATTTATAGAGCTATGCACTCGTGTAATTCGTAAAGTTCTAGGAGATTTAACTGTGCGAAGTTTTTATTTCATGGTTAGAATTAATCGAGGTTTGTACCCTGTACGTATGCAACCGAGACGAATACCTTTGTCTGCCTGGTTGCCGTGTCGCAGGCACTTTTCTTCGCCAAAATTGCTATCCTGATTTTAGGTATAGATTTCGGATTTGAAGAATAGTTTTTGGCAATATTCGAATGGCAAATTATTTGGGCTACTGATATTTGTATATTTGATATAAAAATGTTCGATACTGGAATTTTAAACCAACAGAAGTTGACGCGTAAACCGACATTTTGTAGATCTTGGGGCGGGATTTCGAATTGTCTTTGTTCTATCACTTTATAAGTCAATCACAATGGTTTGAAGAGATGGTTGGATAGAAATAAAAAACGCGAAAATGCACGACGTAAACGAGTCATTATCAAGGATACAGACATATACAGTTACGCACAGTATCCGCTGCAATTAACACGATAGACTGGTGATAAGTAGACAGCGGATGTTTGTGCATTTTTCGGAAATTTAAGATTCCAAAAATCGATAGAGTGCGTGTAACATGCAAAAGTGTATACAATATTTAAAATACAGCACTTACTATGATGTTCGATAGACGAGACAAATTTCTATTTAGATAACGTTTCTTTAATTGTGTTCACAAAACTATAGAACTGTGTTTAAATTTATCATACGCGTGTAAGCGCTAGATCGATTCTTAACTAAACACGTTCGAACTCTGTTTTCTTGAAAATAAATCCTTAAACGGAAAGACTATTTATTTTACATCTTTTACCTACTTTCGCTTCTATGATGACATCTTATCGATCGTTTACTCGTACCAGTCGGTAATTGACCATACGGTAATTAGTATACTCGATAAACGTTCAAACTCGATTTTCTCGAAAATTAAACCTTAAATGACAACATTTTATTGCACATTTTGTTCTTATTTTTTCCAAAGGAATCACCTCGTGTTCGCTTGTACGTGTTATTCGCTCGCGCCCTGTATATGTATGTATAGAAATATATCGAATATATGTTTGCAACGAGTATCTTGTAACTTCTATATAGATTTTCAAATTAGTTTCAAATTTCACCGTGTCAGGTTACAGTGTCAATAAACCGTGAAACGTTCTGTAGAGTACGTGTTCGTACGTATACGAGTCGAAGAGCTGCCACGAATTCAACGTAGATGATTCGTAGCAAAATTTCACCTTATTTCATTTTCGTTCAAACTAAAAATTTCTTCTCTCACACAAAGTACCTTCGATCATGCAGCAAACGTCTGTTAAACTTACGATTCGTCGACTGAACGTGCAGTTGAAGTAAAAGCCTGTGTAATCGCGTTAGTTGGAAAAATGAAACAGTCGATGGGCAAAAAACGAGCTTAACGCGTTCTCGATTAAATTCGTGGTCGCGTTACTCGACCAGACCACCGCGACGATGGTGTAACAAATGTCCGCTAGGTTCCTCGAATCCTATCCAAATTCATATTATTCGTAAATCAAGGGGGCCGAAAAAACGAAACGCTTGGCTGGAGAGACCGCCCTATTCGAGTTTCCGAGAACACACAGGTGGCCTCCCATAATGCCTTCCTACCAAGAAAAACCTTATGGCGATCGTTAGTGTCCACTATCGAAGAAAAGGAGAAATAATCGTAAATCGGTGCCGGGAACGTAGCATTCGTCATCCAATAATCCATTAAATACATCAGAGCATGACAATTTCTTTCGTCTAACGCTGCTAAGGAAAATTCTTCCGCGCTGATGGCTGATCGTTAGACCACCGATTTTTTTCCCTTCCTCCGACATTCCATGGGTTCGAAAGTGCGCGTGATATGCAAAAGTATGCGAGATATCGGAAACGTCGTATCTCTTACGATATTTCCTAGGGACAAGCAAATTTCTCTGTTGATTTCAGTTTTTTAATTATATTCTATAATATAATTATGTGTAATTGTATAATTACATACAATATAATTATATTAAATTATATTTTAAGACATGAATGTACATAAATATCTGTCATGATTACTACGTAGCTACGGTGTTGAACCGCCATCATTGTGATGATGTGATCGATTACTCGAACTCGCCGAATCGATAATTTCCGCGATATATCGCTCAGTCCTCGCTTTGTCTTCTCTCAGTCTTCCAATTTCTCTCGTATCTGTCATTGATCTGTTCGACGAATGATTCGAATTCCTGAACAAGCATCGGCATACGCGATTGTATGTAAAGAAATTGAAAAGATGTCACGTGATTTGTTTGTAGTTCGATATAAATAGATTTCACGCGAGCTTTTCTCGTTAGATATAAATACCGTGGACCAGTTTCTAACCAATTTTTAATTGTAGATCTTCGATAGAATTATACCATGCGCCATCATTACACCCCTCGACTGTTTCTGGGAAGGTAGCAAGCTCTTAGGACCGGACTCTCCTGTGTATATACCGTAAGTATCATACATATAATGTGTGCATAAATATATGAGTATATAAATAAGTAAAATTGAATGAAAGAAGTAAACAAAGTATAATTAAATTAAACGAATGGGAAATAAGATAAATGTATATAAATGAATAGGAAACAATAAACGAAACAATATATTGGGTTGGTAACTAAGTGACTGCGAATCTTGTCACTCGGTGGTAATGACAAAATCCGCAATCACTTAGTTGCCAACCTAACCTAACCTTAATAGTAGAAGAGATATAATGTAGATATTTACATATAACGTATAACCTTTTTTTTATATATGTATGTTGTATAAAATTTATACATGTGCAGTGTCAACATCGTCACGTAGACTTCGAAATGTTTCATTTCATCTCATCAATATCTCAGTCTAACCATTAGACCACGGATTTCTATGCAAACTCACTTGTCCATGGATATAACAGAAAATACGAAAACTGGTATTGAAAATTCGTCTACCTATGAAATATCAGATAAGCCATTATACTCTTGATATTTGATACGTTATTATACATATTTATATATTACACACTTTCTAGAAATTGTTCGCACTCTACGTAATAATATTGGGTTGGCAACTAAGTGATTGCGGATTTTGTCATGACCACCTAATGGTAATATATATAACAATGTATAATAATATATATAATATAACAATATAAATGTTTCTCATAAATGCATGGGATTCCGTAGTCTATTAATCATTATCGGTATATCGTTCTACAAAGAGAAATAAATAGATGTATATATATATATATATATATATATAGAGAGAGAGAGAGAGAGAGTAAAGTGGTTCATTTCGCCTTTGAATTATTTTTTCCACGGTAGCGGCACGCAGATGCACAAGCCAGTGCACTGGACGAATCTCAATCCATTGTGGATGCTGGACGAGATGAAGAAACTGCAGTTCATGTTTCCCTTCAAAACTCTGGAGGACTACATGAAGAGGGCCGGGATAACGAACGGCTACCAAAGCAAGCCCTGCCTCGACCCAGCGGACCCTGAGTGTCCGGAAACCGCGCCCAACAAAAAATCCCAGCAGGTAAGCAAGCAAGCAACCAGGCAACCAAGCAAGCAACCCAACAAACGCACCTTGTCTCCGAGATTGTAGTACCAGCGGAGCCGTGTGTCGACCGATTAAGGTGAAAGTCTTGGCGTGTAATTGTTGATACACGGGTAGTCCCGGCGCGTTTCGTGGCGTCGTCTTTTGATACCGACAAATTCGGATTAAATTGCGCAAAAAGGATGCTCGTAACAGTCGCTGTAAATTAGCTTGGTAAAAAGAAAAAAGAAAAGAAAAGAAAAAAAGAAGGAGGGTACCTTGGAATGTACGAGTTTTCTTGGCGTTCTTTCCTCCTTTTTATTTTTCTATCTTTCTTTCTTTTTTTTTTTGTTTTTGTTTATTTCGTTTACTCGCACCGCGTTGTATTTCTTTCCTTTGGTTTTCTTTTTCTTTTTGTTCCTCTTTCTGTTCTCTTGCGTACGATTATCACGTTCTTCTCTCGTAGGTCAGCCGTAAACTGCGATGATTAGCAGAAGTAAAATCGCTGGCAACAGTAGTAGAATGGTGTTTGACGACTCTGATGAGGCGAAATAGGGGTGAAAACATGGCTTGGCGAGATAGGCTTTTTTTTCTTCGATTAGACGCTCGTCTCAGGAACAGGCTTTTTTTAACTTGGTTTTAGAGAGAATTTTTATTGTCTTTGATACACTTGTGACATGATAACATCTTATATATTAGGTGCTTTTCTTGGTATATGAACAGAGTATCGGGTTAAATGGTATTTCTGCGCATCGTTTAGATATAATTACTTGCCTTTTCTCAGTTTTAACATAAACATTACCAAATGGCCGGTTTCAATGTTTAATGTAATTGTACATTTACTGTTATTTCCTTTATTCATCTAATTTTATGTAAGTTCTTATGTTATCCGATTAATCAATTTCTCAATGTTTATTAATATGTTTAAATGTTATTAATTTCTCAATGTTTATTCACAAAACACACGGTTCTTTGGATCTAATTCTTCTGAACTTTTATTACAATCTTTGTTTCTTTTTACGAATACGCTTCGCTATCGAAAACATACAGAGAATGGTGCAACACACTGTCAACAATAATTTTATTGGAGAAGCTACGTTTTAACTTTCAATTTTACTGTTTTAGACATTTTTATTAGGATCTTCGTTTCTTTCTATACTTACACTATACGTAGATCAGCCTCAACTGTAGTTTGATTAGAAAATTAGAAAGCTTCATTAGTTTTGATTCATGAAAACACACAGTTTCTGTCTGAAACTAATTTTCTAAATTTTTATTATAATATACAAAATCCAAAACATCCGAGGAGGTTGCACGCACGTGGAATTATAATTAGAAAATTAAAACTAAATTCCATCCATGAAAATACACAATTCCTGCCTCTGTCTAATTAAACAATTTTTTAAATTGTAAATATTTTTACTACAATCTCTGCTTTTTCTCGCACGTTGATATGGAAAACTATCAAGAACGTTGCATCGCACGTGGAATTATAATTAGAAAATTAGAACTAAATTTCATCCATGAAAATACACAATTCCTGCCTCTGTCTAATTAAACAATTTTTTAAATTGTAAATATTTTTACTACAATCTTTGCTTTTCTCGCACGTTGATATGGAAAACTATCAAGAACGTTGCACCGCACGTGGAATTATAATTAGAAAATTTAAACTAAATTTCATCCATAAAAATACACAATTCCTGCCTCTGTCTAATTAAACAATTTTTTAAATAATTACAATTCATTAAATAATTACACCATCAGTTACAATTACAATAAAAAATTGAAACTAGATTGCATCCACGGAAGCACACAATATTTGCCTGCATCTAATTAAAAAAAGAATCTCTAAAATTGTTACAATTTTCATTATAATCTCCGCCTCTTCTTGCAAATTCACGCCGATGTGGAAAACTTTCCTCGACCGTGTAATTTAACTGAGACATGAAAACTATGTTTCATTCACAGGAACACGCAAGCCTCGTCTACACGTAATTTCCTTTTAATTAACCTTCTTTGCAATTTCCGCTTCCTGCTGACGCGAGTTCGCGTCCGGATATCGGTAAGTCCGAAAACTGCAGCGCACGTGTGCACGTGCATTGCGTTTTCTCGATTAACCAGCGGCGTATCCCAAGTGGGCAAGTTCGTGACACGCTTGTTACGTCAGAGGCCGCGCGCCGAGACCATTGGCAAACGTGGAGGCAAAAAGCTCGCCAACCGCTTATTAACACGCTTGTTCGTGCGTCAGACGGATCGATGTTATAATTCATAGGGCTACGTGCAATTATGCCGGGTCCGTTTATTAGCCTTAATTCCGTCTTGGCCTCGTTAATGGCGGGATTTATGGCTGCGATCGATCTGTCGTGGGAGGCCAACGCGGTTCAAGCTGATGCACGTAAATAATCGTCTATTGCTATTACGAAACGCTATTGGGAAACGTTCAATTAGAAAGCGATCGACAAGTTGGTAGAGAAGTTGGATGCAGGGTAGTCGACAGTATCAGGCCAGTTGCTGAGCAAAGTTTCCTGAAATATTCGTCTTTATGCGAGTCAGGCTAACGCGCTGCTGTGTAACGTTTGACAAGAGGGTGGACTAGGACTGTACTGTAATTTGTACTGTAATTTGTACTGTGCAATTTGTCCAGCTGCGTGGAATAACAGCTAAGTGATTGCGGATTTTGTCGTTAGGTACTTAGGTGCCAGTCCAATAATTAAAAATATGTAAATTGAAATTTATGAGATGGATGAAAATATATGCAGGATGGAAGGTGATGTGTAAAAATATTATACGAAGCTGTTATTATATTGAAGAAAAAGAAGACAAGTGTGAGGAGTTGAGGATGCTGAAGCTTAACGAGCACGAATCGTCAGCCTGAGCAATGTTTCTAACGAGCACGAATCGTGAGCCTGAGCAATGTTTTAATGTATGAAAAGGGAAGAACATTTTGGATTGTTAAATTCTTTATTGGAGTTAGGAAGACAGAAGAAAAGAATATTCGAGTTGATAGTTGAACGTATGAAGACGCACCATGATAAGTAAAAAATATATTCTAATTACTCAAACTACATTCTAATCCATAGGAAATGTTGAAGTAATTACTTCAAGAATAACTTTTGTATATCCATGACCTGGAGACCGCTGTTGCGAAGAGAATAGAATTTAGTGAAGAAAATTCAAAATAACGAGAGGTCCATATTACTGTGCCCTTGAATATAAATTTTGTTTTTGGGTTACAAGCTCTAGAAACAAAAGAGATATAAGTAGATTTCTATTGCTGTTTCTTGTAGCCTTCAGCTAGAGCTACACACCAAGGTTAGCTTTTTGCTAATGTTCTTTGCTATAAATATATGAACGTGCTCCCTATCAGCTTCCTATTGTATTGTAACACTGTAAGAGTGAGGATCTGGATCACCATAAACTATACCTGTACTTATACCTATACTTATTTCAATGTATTTTCCTATTACAATTTCATCCACTCGTTGCTGTATCAGTCAACCTCAACAGAAGATGGTGAAGTTTTTCAAAGAGCAGTGGCGACATGGAGCGATTAAAGTATTAACACTAATCTTACCAGGTCCAGTCGAATGGCAGGTTTGAAAATTTAATTTGAAGTTCTAGATTCGTCGTTGCTTCTTTTCTTCATCTACTTTATGTCAATTCTTATACGCAAAAATTGAAAAATTGATTAACCAGATAATAGAAGAATTTACATAAAGTTAGACGAGCGAAAGAAACGACAATGCGCAATTCCAAATGAATTTTGAAACCGGTCATTTGAAGGTCCTGTAAGGTTGGCGTTAAGGAATGCACACTTCCACTGAGAAAGACGTAAAGGATATAAAAACACGAAGAATACAGCGGCCCTGGGAAGAAATAATTTGCGCCGTACAATGTTTCCCTTGGAACCAAACACCTTCTTCAAGCAAACTGCAACCCCAGAAATAAATCCCATTGCTCTCGCTTAAATGTAACACTCCGCCATCCACGAAACTGCATTAGAGCGTCGCGTATAAAACGAGGAAGACAAAATGAAGAAAGAAAAGGAAGAGAAAAATGAGAAAACAATTCGTCTTCAGCTCGTAATTGCCTGAAAGTAGACACGGGACAGCGCACTCCAAAATCAAACAGAAATCGCTCGATATCGGTGGCTGCTGTAAATTCGCCAGAAGATCGCAGACGTCTGGCGCGTGTCTGAGAAAATGCCGAAGCAAAGGATCCATCGTATCGCAGCGAAGAAAAGCGTCGGTGGCCCAGTGGTAGGGGAAGGAGGTCAGCTAAAAATTCCTGTCTATCGGCTGGTAGCGTGAGACGTCGCCGGGTCGACGAAATTGCTATCAAAATACCATCTCGTAGCGACGGAATTACCGAGGCCGCGGCGGCTACGATGTAGGGGAAGGCTGCGGATGCCTAAGATTCGTTTCATAGGATCGATGTCCGGAATAACAAGTGGTCACTTGGAATTCCGCGGCCGATGACGACCGGTTGCGCGCACGTAGCGAGTCCGGTAGGTCCTGGACAGCCGCACTCGTCCATTCCGCTTTGATGTCCGCGGCGCGGAGCAGATATTCCGCTGGCCGGAGCCGGCGACCTAGCCGCGGTAATGAATATTTAATTGGCCGTGCTTTGCTTCTTTGTTGCGCCTGTCTCTGTGTGCAGATACACGGCGCGGACGCGTGCGTGCGTGCTGCATCGTCGCGATCAAAATGGAGAACTTTTTCAGCGCGTGAAAAGTCGATGGAGAATGCTGATTTCCAAACGGTGGATTCACCAACGGCGACTTCCTGGGGGGGGGCCGATGGAAGCGCGAGTGGAGGGTAGGAGGAAATACGTGCGGTATCTGCGCCAGGATCTGTAGAACCGGAAGTGCGAGGCAAGCGGGCGTGGAGCGTATTCGTGAAGCACTTGGGGCTTCAGCCTCGGCTTTTTATCGATGGATTGAGTTAGGGGTGGAAGCAATGATCGGGGTTAGGTTTTGGTTTGGGGTAAGTTTGACGATATGGAAGTTGAGCAGTGTTGGTAGACGTTGTTCTTTGAAGAGCGATTTTATGGAATTGTTATTGATATGGATGTTTGTAACGTGATAATGAATCGTGAGAAGGTTTGGTTAATTATTGATAATTGATATTTGATTAAGTGCAAACGTATTGCCCATGATACAGTTTTCAGCTGATTTTTTATGAAATTGAAGAATATAGAAATTGAGTCGCATAAAATGCATTGTAGAAGTTGAAATAGATTGTTTATAACATATTAA